CCAAACAATAAAATATATCTATGAATTTATGTAATCCAAAAGAAGATGTAGGTTAAAAAGTATCTATTTAAAACATAATAACCTTGGATTTAGAGAATGAGTTGAGGAATGGAGAGGTGTGCTACTCTTAGTCCAGCGATCAATTAACATAGCATGGACTACCTGATGAAAGGTTGACATTTCAACATTTGATATTCCTTCATACTTATATATGGCCTTCCTGACATCTTCAATCATCGGATCCCAAATTTCATAAATTAAATGAAGACATTAAGCTAATTTGTCGATTTCTCTAAGAACATCATAAATATGATTAATGAAAGAAAATATATAATCAACATTTTCCCACCAATTATCATCCAACAAGATATCCTTCACAAATTGTGCCTTTTGAACATCATCATCCTTGTAAGAAGACCATTGTTCACTAATCACCATTTGTTGGAAACCCGTCTTCAAAAGCTTAAATCTCTTTAGCATTACAATAGTGGATGCAAATCTTGTTTAAGCAACTGAAAGCAACTTTAATGGACTGAATAAAGTAAAAATTGACAATCTCATAGAGTGACCCATGACAAAGTTCTTGATAAACATTGCATCATCTGCAACTTTGGTGATCCAAGTACACTCTTTATAAACAACACTATTATTTTCAGTATCATTGGTTGCACATATGTTTTTCAAAGAAATATTTAATGTATGCACAACACACGAGGTCCAATAAATAGAAGGAAACTCAACCTCGATAGTTAAACCCACTACCTTACAAACAGGTGCATTATTTGTCACTACATGCACAACATTTGAAGGGCTAACCTCCATAATTACCTCTCTGATTCATTTAGCAATGAATTCTCTATCTTTTACCTCATTAAAGCAATTTACTTCCTTTAAAAACATAGGTCCACTCTTTGTGACAACCATGAAATTATTAAGAGGTCTTCTCTATGGATCATTTCATCCATCGCTAACAATATTCACACCCTTTGATTCCATGTATTTTTTATCGGTTGCAACAAGTTTTCCACATGGTTCCGCTCATTTTGAAGTAATGCCGTTCTTAATTTGTTATAAGTTGGAAGTTGATAACCAGGTATATAATTGTTGGCAGCATAAGCAAAAGCCTCCCTAAAGTGAGGATTTCTTGCTAAATGAAATGACAGTCCTGCAGAATAGAACATCCTAGCAATTTTATAATCCAGTGTTTCTCTAGATTGCACATTAAAAGCAACCTCTAGTGTTGACACCTTTCTTTTTTTTGTTCAACACTTATATTTAGATTGGAAGAATATTCAAATGCATTAGAAACTGGAGGCAAAGATATTGGTTTTGTTTTTAGCTTTTTCATCTTCAACGTATACTCATTGTCCATCCTTATCAAATCTAAAAGTTTGTTAATTGTTACTTGTTTACAAACTTTCACGCCTTGTCACGAGATCTTCAACTAATGTGCTCTCACTCTAGTATAAGACCCACTAAAAGTTATCTTTAAAGATAAATTGAATTTCATTGTTTCCACCTCCAACACTAATTTTTTTTAAATCTTTGTAACATACTGCCATAGAGGCTTGATGATATGATCTTATTCTTTGGTTTGAGCTTCACTAGAATTGGAAGTACTCATCTCTATAATAAACAATATGATTTTTTTAGATAAAATAAACAATATAATAAATAATATAAAAATTTATAGAAAGATAAAACAAATAAATTATGTTGTTTGTTTTTATAATATATGTAGAAGTGAAGAGAGATAGTTTTATTCAATAAACAATATAATTTATACAATTTTCAAACCAAAGAGAGATATAGTTTTTATTTTAAAATTCCAACAATTTCCAGATCTATTTATACAAACATAAAACAAAAAATTAGAATTTAGAAATAATATAAAATAAACAATATAAAACATATTGTATCGTGTACTTTTTCTATATTGATTCTCATAGAACAAGCTAAGGATCTTCCATATTTACTTAATCTTGTATCATACCAAACTGTTTTAATAAATTCATTTTTGTACTAATTATCAATATATAAGCAATGACCATGTACGATAAACAACAAGTTGAACTAATTAAATATTACAATATAATTTATACAATTTCAAACAAGATAAAACAATATTCCACCGTCTACCGAGTAACAAAAGGATAAAACAGTAAAAAATTCTTTCAACACTTTCAAACAAATTTCAAACATGTTAATTGATTCTCATAGATACTGACGGTCGAGTCGCAAATAAAATAAAATAAAAATTCAAAAACATCTAAAAAATAAAATAAAAAATTCATAATAGAAGCCAGATAGGATGAAAAAATCTTTTAAAAATCGAAGTAATGGTGTGCAAAGATGAAAATAATCGAAGAAGATAAAAGAACATTGTGGAGATAGAAGTTAGGGGTGTCCGTGAGCCAGTTTAAATCGATTTTAAAAGAATTCGATGTCTAAACCGATTTAAAATATATGAATTGGATTTGTACACTTTTGTGATAAAGTCCAAACCAAACCAAACCGAAAAACAACGGGTTGGTTTAAGTTGAATTGATAAGATACACTAAAAATAAATGTGCAAAAATATTTTTAAAAAATAACTTTTATATAAATTAACTTTCCATAATATTATATAATTTTTAATTTTTTTTAGCTATCTATGTTGTGAACGGATCAAATAATGTTTCATTTTTTTTTGAAGTTGAATACTTGGTACTAGTTTCCATGATAATGATCATATGAACTATGTGAATTAATTATGAATGGTTCGAGTAGACGGGCTCGCAGGTAGAATTTTAGAAATCCGATACCCGAACCAATTAATATCAGATTTCATTGGTTTGGTTTGGTTTTTCTCTAAACTAAAAAAATGCCCGACCCAAACACCTTGGTTTGGTTTGGATTCCAGTTTGATTCGAATTTACCCGAACCAATGAACACCCCTAACAGAAGTAGTGGAATATGAAAAAAAAAGGAATCCTTCTTGTGTTATTTTTATAGTAAGGTAGTGGAATATGAAAGTTAAAAAAACTCTATTTTTTATTTATAAAATTTGAAATTTTGAGTTGAGCTTTTTTCTATAAAAAAAATTAATTTTTTTAGTTGAATCGTGTCCTTTATTTGAAATAAAGTGTTGTATCCGTGTCTGTTGTGATTTAAATTTTTTTAGTTGGACACTTCAAAAACGTGTCTGATACATGTCGTATGCGTGTCTATGTCGGGCATGTGTCTGACACAGTGACACGTCGTGTGAATGACGTGTTGGAACATCATATGTTTTGAGGAATCTCTCAAGATTTGTCTGCACTATATAAAAAGCTGTACAAATCTCGAGAATTGAGACACGCTTTTTTTAGCCCCACATACTTAGCCACATTGTGATTTTATGCAACCATGATAATGCCAAAATTGCACAAACTACTCCATCCGTTCCTTTTGAATTGTCTTTTTTTTTTATACTTTTTGTGCATACCTAAAAAACCTAATAACTTTTCTTACTTTTTAAGTAATAATTGTCTTTTTACCTATAATACCACTAATTATTTATTAATTCATTTGACCTTTTCTCTCTTTTCAAGAAATAACTAAGGGTAATTTTGACAAAACGATAATTAATATTACCTTGAACTTTGAAAACGACAATAAAAAAGAAATAATTTTTTTACTAAAAAACGGCACTTAAAGAGAGTAGACTCTAAGAAAGTCTGAAGCTAAAGAAAGTAGACTCTAAACAAGCCAGAAGCTAGATAAAGAGACTCTGGACAAAAAGAATCTAGACTCTGAATATAGAAATTTTGAACACCATCAAATTCTAAACCAAGGAAGAATATGAAGAAGTGTTAATCTGATAGTCAACTATGGATACCCCAGTAAACGCTTCTGATGTAATCAACCCAGATGTACTCTGATACAATCAAGCCTCATTTTTTTACTAGACTCGAAAGCCTATCTTCAAGGCTTTGTACTATGATCAAGTTTTAAAACATCTTATATACGAAGCCAATGATTTAGAGAAAAATGTATGAATGAATATTCTAGAAGATAATACAATTTGGGAGAGAAATCAAAAGGACTGACACACTGATATTCTCATGGATTGTACTACCAATGACTATAAAACATTTTCTCTTAACTATCCACGATTTTTAGCACAACCTCACACCTATTATTACAACTGTGGATTTGAAAAAGTTCCCAATTCTATCCTCTAACGGTCTTATTCATCGTCTATAAAAAGAGGACAAAAGAATTGTGAAAAGAGAGCTTTCATGAAGAACTTAAACGTAGAACTTCAGGTTGAAAGAACTTTAATAAGAGAAAATCAGATTGAGAAAGAAAGAGAAATACTTAGCATTTTATTTCATATATTCTTAAGAGAAAATCAAAGTGAAGGACCGGAGACGAAATTTCAATCACATGTAAGTATTATTTGCATGTTTTCGTAACTGAAATAGGGAAAACTTTAGGGATTTCTGTAGATTTAGGGATTTCTTTAGATTTAGGGTTTTTCATGTTTTAGGGGTTTGACGTACTCTATTTGAAACTAAATATAGGGATAATAGACGAATTTCTGAAATTTAAAATTCATCACAGTGGTGAATTCATTGATCCTGAACTACGTGTGCATGAAGGAGGACTAGTAAATGATTTAAAAGTAGATGTTGATAAGTAGAGTTATTTTGAGTTGGTTGGAAATGTGGAAATGTGCCAAACAATGTACAAGATATGGAAATGTGCCAAACAATAAAATATATCTATGAATTTATGTAATCCAAAAGAAGATGTAGGTTAAAAAGTATCTATTTAAAACTTAATAACCTTGGATTTAGAGAATGAGTTAAGGAATGGAGAGGTGTGCTACTCTTAGTCCAGCGATCAATTAACATAGCATTGACTACCTGATGAAAGGTTGACATTTCAACATTTGATATTCTTTCATACTTATATATGGCCTTCCTGACATCTTCAATCATCGGATCCCAAATTTCATAAACTAGATGAAGACATTAAGCTAATTTGTCGATTTTTCTAAGAACATCATAAATATGATTAATGAAAGTAAATATATAATCAACATTTTTCCACCAATTATCATACAACAAGATATCCTTCACAAACTGTGCCTTTTGAACATCATCATCCTTGTAAGAAGACCATTGTTCACTAATCACTATTTGTTGGAGTCCCGTCTTCAAAAGCTTAAATCTCTTTAGCATTACAATAGTGGATGAAAATCTTGTTTAAGCAACTGAAAGCAACTTTAATGGACTAAATAAAGTAAAAATTGACAATCTCATAGAGTGACCCATGACAAAGTTCTTGATAAACATTGCATCATCCGCAACTTTGGTGATCCAAGTACACTCTTTATAAACAACACTATTATTTTCAGTATCATTGGCTGCACATATGTTTTTCAAAGAAAGATTTAATGTATGCACAACACACGAGGTCCAATAAATAGAAGGAAACTCAACCTCGATAGTTAAACCCACTACCTTACAAACAGGTGCATTATTTGTGATCACTACATGCACAACATTTGAAGGGCTAACCTCCATAATTACCTCTCTGATTCATTTAGCAATGAATTCTCTATCTTTTACCTCATTAAAGCAATTTACTTCATTTAAAAACATAGGTCCACTCTTTGTGACAACCATGAAATTATTAAGAGGTCTTCTCTATGGATCATTTCATCCATCACTAACAATATTCACACCCTTTGATTCCATGTATTTTATTATCGGTTGCAACAAGTTTTCCACATGGTTCCGCTCATGTTGAAGTAACGCCGTTCTTAATTTGTTATAAGTTGGAAGTTGATAACCAGGTATATAATTGTTGGCAGCATAAGCAAAAGCCTCCCTAAAGTGAGGATTTCTTGCTAAATGAAATGACAGTCCTGCAGAATAGAACATCCTAGCAATTTTATAATCCAATGTTTCTCTAGATTGCACATTAAAAGCAACCTCTAGTGTTGACACCTTTCTGTTTTTTTGTTCAACACTTATATTTAGAGTGGAAGAATATTCAAATGCATTAGAAACTGGAGGCAAAGATATTGGTTTTGTTTTTAGCTTTTTCATCTTCAACGTATACTCATTGTCCATCCTTATCAAATCTAAAAGTTTGTTGATTGTTACTTGTTTACAAACTTTCACGCCTTGTCACGAGATCTTCAACTAATGTGCTCTCACTCTAGTATAAGACCCACTAAAAGTTATCTTTAAAGATGAATTGAATTTCATTGTTTCCACCTCCAACACTAATTTTTTTAAAATCTTTGTAACATACTGCCATAGAGGCTTGATGATATGATCTTATTCTTTGGTTTGAGCTTCACTAGAATTGGAAGTACTCATCTCTATAATAAACAATATGATTTTTTTAGATAAAATAAACAATATAATAAATAATATAAAAATTTATACAAAGATAAAACAAATAAATTATGTTGTTTGTTTTTATAATATATGTAGAAGCAAAGAGAGATAGTTTTATTCAATAAACAATATAATTTATACAATTTTCAAACCAAAGAGAGATATAGTTTTTATTTTAAAATTCCAACAATTTCCAGATCTATTTATACAAACATAAAACAAACAATTAGAATTTAGAAATAATATAAAATAAACAATATAAAACGTATTGTGTCGTGTACTTTTTTTATATTGATTCTCATAGAACAAGCTAAGGATCTTCCATATTTACTTAATCTTGTATCATACCTAACCGTTTTAATAAATTCATTTTTGTACTAATTATCAATATATAAGCAATGACCATGTACGATAAACAACAAGTTGAACTAATTAAATATTACAATATATTTTATACAATTTCAAACAAGATAAAACAATATACCACCGTCTACCGAGTAACAAAAAGATAAAACAGTAAAAAATTCTTTCAACACTTTCAAACAAATTTCAAATATGATAATTGATTCTCATAGATACTGACGGTCGAGTCACAAATAAAATAAAATAAAAATTCAAAAATTCACAATAGAAGCCGGATAATCGAAGAATGTGCTAAAATAATGGTGTGCAAAGTAAAAATAAAAAATCTTGTAAAAATCAAAGTAATGGTGTGCAAAGATCAAAATAATCGAAGAAGATAAAAGAACATTGTGGAGATAGAAATTAGGGGTGTTCGCGAACCAGTTTAAATCGATTTTTAAAAGAATCCGATGTCTAAACTGATTCAAAATATATGAATTGGATTTGTACACTTTTGTGATAAAGTCCAAACCAAACCAAACCGAAAAACAACGGGTTGGTTTAAGTTGAATTGATAAGATACATTAAAAATAAATGTGCTAAAATATTTTTAAAAACTAACTTTTTTATAAATTAATTTTCCATAATATTATATAATTTTTAATTTTTTTATCTATCTATGTTGTGAACGGATCAAATAATGTTTCATTATTTTTTTTGAAGTTGAATACTTGGTACTAGTTTCCATGATAATGATCATATGAACTATGTGAATTAATTATGAATGGTTCAAGTAGAGAGGCTCGCGGGTAGAATTTTAGAAATCCGATACCCGAACCAATTAATATCAGATTTCATTGGTTTGGTTTGGTTTTTCTCTAAACTAAAAAAATGGCCGACCCAAACACCTTGTTTTGGTTTGGATTCCAGTTTGATTCGAATTTACCCGAACCAATGAACACCCCTAACAGAAGTAGTGGAATATGAAAAAAAATAAGGAATCATTCTTGTGTGATTTTTATAAAAAAATTAATTTTTTTTTAGTTGAACCGTGTCCTTTATTTGAAATAAAGTGTTGTATCCGTGTCTGTTGTGATTTAAATTTTTTTAGTTGGACACTTCAAAAACGTGTCTGATACATGTCGTATGCGTGTCTATGTTGGGCATGTGTCTGACACAGTGACACGCCGTGTGAATGACGTGTTGGAACATCATATGTTTTGAGGAATCTCTCAAGATTTGTCTGCACTATATAAAAAGCTGTACAAATCTCGAGAATTGAGACACGTTTTTTTAGCCCCACATGCTTAGCCACATTGTGATTTTACGCAACCATGATAATGCCAAAATTGCACAAACTACTCTATTCGTTCCTTTTTAATTGTCTTTTTTTTTTTTTTTACTTTTTGTGCATACCTAAAAAACCTAATAACTTTTCTTACTTTTTAAGGAATAATTGTCTTTTTACCTATAATACCACTAATTATTTATTAATTCATTTGACATTTTCTCTCTTTTCAAGAAATAACTAAGGGTAATTTTGACAAAACGATAATTAATATTACCTTGAACTTTGAAAACGACAATAAAAAAGAAATAATTTTTTTACTATAAAACGACACTTAAAGAGAGTAGACTCTAAGCAAGTCTGAAGCTAAAGAAAGTAGACTTTAAACAAGCTAGAAGCTAGATAAAGAGACTCTGGACAAAAAAAATCTAGACTCTGAATATAGAGATTCTGAACACCATCAAATTCTAAACCAAGGAAGAATATGAAGAAGTGTTAATCTGATAGTCAACTATGGATACCCCAGTAAACGCTTCTGATGTAATCAACCCAGATGTACTCTGATACAATCAAGACTCATTTTTTTACTAGACTCTATAGCCTATCTTCAAGGCTTTGTATTATGATCAAGTTTTAAAATATCTCATATACGAAGCCAATGATTTAGAGAAAAATGTCTGAATGAATATTCTAGAAGATAATACAATTTGGCAGAGAAATCAAAAGGACTGACACACTGATATTCTCATGGATTGTACTACCAATGACTATAAAACATTTTCTTTTAACTATCCACGATTTTTGGCACAACCTCGCACCTATTATTACAACTGTGGATTTGAAAAAGTTCCCAATTCTATCCTCTAACGGTCTTATTCATCATCTATAAAAAGAGGACAAAAGAATTGTGAAAAGAGAGCTTTCACGAAGAACTTAAACGTAGAACTTCAGGTTGAAAGAATTTCAATAAGAGAAAATCATATTGAGAAAGAAAGAGAAATACTTAAAAAATGTTTTGGAAGAAAGTATTCAGGAGGGGTGCCCATGATTTTAATCTGTAATGACTCTGATATTAGTATTGCAATAACAATTCCTTTGTTTTTTTTATAATTGATATTGGGGATAAAACCCTTATTTTAACTACAATTGACGAAAATAATACACTTGCTATTTTTTCGATCAAGTTTTTGGCGTTGTTGCCGGGGACTGCCAAAATATAGAGCTCTAATTTTAGTTCAATTGGAATTTTTTTGCTCGTCAACTAAAACTTTATTTTCAATTTTATTATTGTTATTTTTGTTATGTTACTACTAATATGCGTTTGACATTCATATGTTTTGGAAGAAAGAGAAATACTTAAAAAATGTTTTGGAAGTAAGCATTCAGGAATTGTTATTGCAATACTAATATCAGAGTCATTACAGATTAATATCAGAAGAGATTTTGGAAGAAAGTAGAGGGCCTGACACGGGCCGCGTCAGAAAGAGGCCAAAAGGATGAAAACCAGAGAAGAGACAATAGGCTGACACAATTTCCCGTGTCACCTGGCACGGCCCGTGTCAGCAAGCCTAGAACAGGAAAAGTTTTTAGCAGATAAACAGGGGGCCAACATGGGCCACGACCGCCCATGTCAACTGACACGTCCCGTGTTGGCTGAGGCGCTTCATCTTCTAATTTTCTTGGATTTTTCACTTAAGGGACATGTGAGGGTATTTTCGGTATTTTCCCACTGTTGTATTAGACTTATGACTATTTTAGATGAGTTTAGAAAGATAAAAAGACACTTTTTAACGGGAGAAGAATTTTATGATCAAGATTGGAGAGATCAAGGCGATTGGAGAACTGAAGGTTTTCATGAGCGGAAGCAATTGAAGATCAAAGTAATCCTATTATCTTGTAATGTTGAATTTTTACTTTGTATTTTCTTCGAATGATATGAGTAGCTAAACCCCCAATGCTAGAGGGGTGCCCATGATTTTAATCTGTAATGACTCTGATATTAGTATTGCAATAACAATTCCTTTGTTTTTTTTATAATTGATATTGGGGATAAAACCCTTATTTTAACTACAATTGACGAAAATAATACACTTGCTATTTTTTCGATCAAGTTTTTGGCGTTGTTGCCGGGGACTGCCAAAATATAGAGCTCTAATTTTAGTTCAATTGAAATTTTGTTGCTCGTCAACTAAAACTTTAT